ATTTGTTAATTCCTACACACACCAAGAAACTTACAGACAGCATTTCAGTGCCTCATTCATTAGGTTTTTTTATTAAGAGAAAATAGTATAATAAATACCCATTAACACAAATTCAAAAATTGCCAAGATTTTGTCATGTGTTCTTTTCTTTTTTGTTTGCTGAAGTAATTTAAGGCAAATCCAAGACTGTATGCTCTTTTCATCTCTATTTATTTCAGTGTGATGTGCATTTTTTATATATTAATATTATTATTGTGCCCAAATTAACAATTGTCCCGTTTTCATCTGATTCCCAATATGTAACAAATTATTCTCACTTTTTAAAATTCTCATCCGAGGACATGCTTATTGATTTTTAAAGAAAGAGCAAGGGAAGGAGAGAAGGAGAGAAACATCAGTGTGAGAGAGAAACATGGATCAGCTGTCCCCTGTATGCACTCCTGCTGGGAACTGTACCCACAACCTGGGCATGTGCCTGACCGGGAATTGAACCTGCAACCCTTCTTATGGATGATGCTCCAACCAATTGAGCCATATTCACCAAAGCTCTCAATTCTTACATTTTATTTTTACAGTTGTTTGAATCTGGTTCTATACAAGGCCCACATGTCACATTTGATTGTCACTTTTCTTGTTTCTCTTTTATCTGGAACCAGCACCCTTTCTCCCTTTGTAATCATTAACTTATAGAAACTGGACCAGTTGTCCTTTAAATGCCTCATTCATGAGTATGAATAAATAACAAAGAATCTTCAGACTTTTTCATGACTATAATTTTATTCTATTTTAATTTTTCAAATTTTCTTTTTCCATTACAGTTGCCATTAAATATGTTATATTAGTTTCGGGTATACAGCATAGTGGTTAGACAGCCCTGTAATTTACAAAGTGATCATCCAATAGTTCAAGTACCCACGTGGCACCATACATGGTTATTGCAATATTATATTGACTGTATTCTTGTGCTGTACTTTATATCCCTGGGACTCTTGGAACTACCAATCTGTACTTCTTAATCTCTTCACATTTTTTTACCTTGCCCACCAATACCCTTCCCTCTGGCAATCATCAGTTTGTTCTCTTATATCTGTGAGTCTGTTTGTATTGTTCTTTAGGTTCTGAATATAAGTGAAATTATGTAGTATTTTTTTTCTGTGTCTGAGTAATTTCACTTAGCATAATACCCTTTAGGTCCAGCCAGTGTCGTTGTTGCAATGGTAAGATTTTATTCTTTTTTATGGCTGAGTAATATTCATTGCATATATGTACCACTCCTTTTTTATCCACTTGTCTATTGGTGGGCACTTGGGTTACTCTCACACATTGGCTATTATAGATTACACTGCAATGAACATAGGGGTGCATATGTTTTTTCTTCGGATATGATGCAGACCCCAGCTCATGGGGTCCACCACATTGTGGATGAGATATGAGAAACTCGCATGAACTACCGAGTCCTGTAGAGGAAAAGGGAGAGCATGGCTTTTCTCTCAAGGGGAGAAAAAGCCATGGCCTCCACCATGACAGGCCTTTATTTCTTTTTTCTGGCACATTACATGATGGTTCTCATTTACTATGCACAGGTTTGCTTTAGGTGGTTACCTTTTCCAGAAAAAAAAAAGAAGCTGATGTTGCTAATCAGATTATAGAAGACAGATATTTGCAAATGAAAAGGCAAAAGTGGTTGAACCGGTTACACTCATCCTTGGAAGATATAGCATGGATTTTAGGAAGTTACTTGGCAGTAAATGTTTTCTGCCTCAATTCAGGGTGAGGGAGTTTTAGCAAAAGCAAGTCTCATAGCAATCTAGGTATATTACAGGCCTGATTCCCCACGGGAGAATCTGTCTGTGGGCATGGGTCCTGTGCATCGGACCTTGCTTTGCTTTCCACTGGAAGCTGGGCCCATGCCACACAGAATGGTCTCCTACACGGATATATACCCAGAAATGGAATTACTGGGTTGTAAGGCAGTTCCATTTTTAATTTTTTGAGAAAACTACAAAATGTTTCCCATAGTGGCTGTACCAATCTGCATTCCCACCAATGCATAAGGGTTTCTTTTTCTCCACATGCTCACCAACACTTGTTTGTTGATATATTGATGATAGCCATTTTGACAGATGTGAGGTGATATCTCATGTGGTTTTAATTTGCATTTCTCTCATGATTAGTGACATTGGCCATCTTTCCATATGTCTTTTGGTCATCTGTATGTCCTCTTTGGAGAGGTGCCCATTCGGTCCTCTGTCCATGTTTATGTTAGATTGGTTTTTTGTGTGTGTTGAGTTACATGAATTCTTTATAAATTTTGGATACTAACCCCTTATCAAATATATCATCTGTGAATATCTTCTCCCATTTACTAGGTTGTCTTTTCATTTTGTTTATGTTTTTTTTTTTTTTGCTGGGTAGAAACTTTTTAGTTTGATATAGTTCTATTTGTTGTTTTTATTTTGTTTTTGATATATCAGAAAACAATATTGCTAAGAGGAATGTCAGAGAGCTTACTGCCTATGTTTTCATCTAGGCATTATATGGTTTTGAGTCTTACATTTAAATAAGGACCTTCAGATTTTTAAGGGAGGACTCAAATGTGAAAGAGAAAAAGAAAAACAAAGGAAAAAATTCAGTGAGCTGAAGGAAACTTTAAAAATACACTATACTTGATATCCTCAAAAAGATAAATTGTATCCATGAAACAAGAAAAAGGAGTAGTAAAAATTTACCTTTAATTACTGAGAATTCTAATTAAAATATGATAGCTGAAATTAAAAATTTTAGGCAGGATGGAAGATAATGAAAGTGGAAAAAATGTTAAAACTAATAAGATGGCCAAGAAAGTTTAAGAAAATAAAAAGATATCTCCAAGCAGTCACACCCAAAACAATAGAAAAGTATTCCAAAAAGAAAGCAAAGAAAATGGAAGGTGAGGGAATTACTATTCCCCCTAGGGGAAAATTCTTGAAACTAAAGAGCATCAGTTTTCAAAGTAAATGTCATGTGCCCAGCACAGAGAATGACAAAAGACTAACATGATGATGTATTGTGATCAAATTTATGATACAAAGTGAAACAGAAAAATTTTTAAAGCTTCTAAATTGAAGTGAGCGATGGTGTGGTGAGGACCTACCACGTATCATACACAGAAGCAGGAATTAAAATTAGGTTGGATTTCTCAGAAGCACCACTGGAAGTTAGGAAAACAGTAGAACAGTGCCCTAATTTTCTATTGAAGAATACTTTCCTCACTTGTGATTCTGAATCCAGCCAAAGTGTCCAATCTGAGATAAAAGAAAGACAATTTCAGATATCCAAGGTCTCAGATTTACTTCCCTTGTACAATAAGATTCTGGAGGACTTATTCCACTCCAGAATGGAGGAGTAAACCGAGAAAGGCTTTAGACCCAGAATACAGGTCTCACATGGAAGAGCCAAGGACAGTACCTGAAATGATAAAGAAGGGAAGTTCTGGGATGACCAAGACTGGAGCAGGAGAATGGAGCGCTCCAGTAAGGCCGTCTCCTGGAAAAGAATGGTAAGGAAGGATCATCCGCCATGTCAGAAGGTACCGAGAGAGGGGCACTATACCTGTCGGATTCAAAAGTATCCGATAGGTACACAGAAAACTGAGAAAGAAAAAAGGAGATGGTTTTTAAATCCAGGGACAACAAAAATAGTCGTATAAGAACAGAAATGTTATTATGGTATAACATGTAGCTCATTAGTGAAGAATAATGAAATTACTGAATTAAAAGATCACTTTATATTGGGAGGATGAGGGGAGAATGCAGCATGTGTGTATAGGTGTGTGGATATGTGTAGGAATGTCAGCCTTTTTCAGGACTGTGGCAGAGACTGCTGGCGGTCAACCTTAATGTTCATTCTCCCTCCCTTCTTAGTAATAGAAATGTGGAAGTACAGGCATTTCTGGGGACTAATCTTTCCAGTTAAAACACTACATTTCCCAGCTTCCCCTGCAACTAGGCATTGACCTGTGTCTAAGTTTAGCAAAATTATTCAATGACACTTCCAGGAAATCTTCTTAAAAGGTGCAGAGTGAGCCATTACTCTCTTCCTGCTGTGAGAATGGAATGGAAGAGTAATTGATGGTGTTCCTGCCATTATCATGGTCTGTGAAGATAAAATACACCCCAAAAATGTAGAGCAGAGAATTGGAGGAATCCTGAGGCCCTGATGACACTATAAAACTATCATATCAACATTAGATTGGCTACAAGTACGTTTGTTTTATGCAATATACCCTTCTCTCTTAAGCCATTGTATTCAGGTCTCAGTTATATGTAGTCTAACCAGATCTGAACTGACTTGTAACTCACTAGGTAATACCTCAAATGAAATATTAATGATGGTATAAGCATGTTATTTAGTACTATAGAGGTAAATACTATAAACAAAAAAATGGAAGGTACAGTAGTAGGTTTAGGCAGTAGAAATTGAGGTAAAGGTGAATGATTAACTATTTTTTCTTGTAACTCTTTTAATCCAATATTTGACATTTCAAATTATGTACATATCTTACTCTAATAAAAATAAATTGATATTTCTTTAGTTACATTTAAATTAGTATATCAAGGGGAGCACTGGGGGGGGTGGGCTGGGATGGGAGTAAAAAACAGAAAACTGTACTTGAACAACAATTAAATAAATTTAAAATAAATTAATTAGTATTTCAAGTAAAAATACGTGTCCACTGTACAAATTCAAACAGTACAAAAGATAGAAAGTAGAAGTCTTGCCTCCCACCAGTTCTTCGCCTCTTCCCTGCCCATCAGTCCTGCCGTCCTCCCCAAGGGAGATGGACGTTTGGCGTGCGTCTCTCCATACGTTTTCTATATGCTCATTTAGCAGGTGTAGAGATGCATAGTTTTCATCTCCTATTTATTTTTTATAAAAAGTGTATTTAAATATTAATTTAAGAGTGTACTCATGAGAGAATATTTAGGCTTGTAATGAATGTTATTTGTTTATATTTTTAGAATTCAAGCTGAAAGCATGCATTTAAAAAGTCAGCAAAATGAATTTCAAAGAGTACAGAGAGAATTGAGTCATTTGCAACAGCAGTTAAAAATTAAACAGAGACAATCACAAGTCTGCAGGTAAGATTATCTTTAAATAATTGTAAATTATAAAGGTTGAAAAGATACATTCAGTAGTAGCTTTATAAATATTCTAACACAGTGTAGTAGAGTTTCTATATTTGGTGTGGTTGAAAAATGTGGAAATAACTGTACTTTTTTAAAACCATTATCATAACTGAATAGTTTTACCAATAAAAGTTAAATGAGGCAAACATGTTGTTCTTATTTTGCAGTGACATTTAGATTGAAAACACAGTGACTAATACATTTTCCTTTCCACCAGTATTTCTTGGTGTACTTGGATCCCCGGCACAAAAAATAATAAAATAGGGAAACTTCCTAAATATAGTAATAAAACTGCTAAATTTAGAAATCTCCACCATAAATGGTGTTAATTCTGCTTTTATATAATCTTCGGAGAGTTTATGTTCTAAAGAAATACCCAATTTCTTTAAAACCCAATGCTCTAAAGAAATTAGAAAGTACATTTTTGTTTTCTAAATCTAAAAAGGGAATTGAGCCCTGGCTGGTGTGGCTCAGTGGATTTATCACAGGCTTGCAAAGCAAAGGGTCTCTGGTTCAATTCCCAGTCAGTGCACATGCCTGGGTTGCGTGGGCCAGGTCCCCAGTGGGGTGCCGGGGCATGTGAGAGGCAATCACACATTGATATTGCTCTCCCTCTCTTTCTTCTTCCCTTCCCCCCTCTCTAAAAATAAATAAATAAAATCTTTAAAAAGGGAATTGAATAGAGAATATAAGAAAGAATGATTTTTTTAATTGAAAAATAACTTTTAACTCTTAGAAAAAGGAAGTAAGTCAAATGAACATTACACATAGACACAGGTTCAGGGTGACTGAAATATATATGCTGGATGAATATTTTAAACATTAGGTTCTTTTTTTTTTCAGTCTACTACTTATTGCCAGAAACATTGTTCTGTTAAAAATTATCTGTGCTAATAATTTTTACACACTATCTGGTGATATAACCTGCTGGTCATTTACCTTTCATAAATGCCTTCCTCAATAAATAATCTTTTTTTGAGAGAGGAGGCAAGGGAAGGAGAAACGGAGAAAAATATCAGTATACAAGAGGTATATGGATTGGTGGCATCTTCTGCACCCCCAACTGGGGACCTGGTCCCCAACCCAATCATGTACCCTGACTGGGAATTGAACTGGTGACCGCTAGGCTTGCAGGCTGGTGCTCATTCCACTGAGCCATACCAGCCAGGGCAATAAATAATCTTTAAATAAATGAATGAATGAGTCTACTCCCAAAACAGGTGATCATCTTTGTCTTCAGAAATATCTGCTGTTTCCTAGAAAGCTGGTATCAAACCAGCAGGATACCACCCAGGTGAACCCAGCTCTCCATTTTAGTCTCAGTGATCTGTATGCAAGATTAGCTCCTATAATAGCTCTGTCCCAAGTCTGCTAAGTAGTCTGTGTTCACTTTTAGAAGTTTCCTATTGTGAATCATTCATGAATTGTTTGAAATATAAAGAGCTTATCCTTTAATTTTTCTTACTTATAAATCTATCTATACTCTGTCATCTCTGGAATTTGCCACGCCAACTCTTCAAAATTTCTCCTCCTTAGCTCTCTTACTTTCACCTCAACTTTTCAGAGTCATTAAAGCTTCCAAAATTTTCCCTGATTTCTCCCAACCAGTGTCCGGCTTTACTTTATTTTCTAGCCTTGATCCTGTAGCTAAATTGCTTGCTATTTAAAAAAAACCCAGCATTATTGAGACATAATTACATGCTATAAAATCCACCCATTTCAAGTGGCAATGCAGCAATTTTTAGTGAACTTACTGAGTAATAAAGCCTTTACCACCGCCTCCAGCATGAGAACATTTGTGCCATCCACAAAGATCTTTATGCCATTTGCATTTACTCTCTCCCCTTAGCACCAGTCCTGGGCAACCTTCCTTCTGTTCTATAAGTTGCATATTTCTGGACATTTCAGATATACAGAATCACATGACATGTGGTCTTTTACATCAGGCTTCTACTGCTGTGTTTTTGAGGTTCATTCCTGTTGAATCACGTATCAGCACTTTGTTTCTTCTTATTGCTTAATAGTTTCCATTGTGCAGATTCACCACCTTTTACTCATTCATTTACCAGGTGATAGACTTTGGGATTGTTTCCACTTCACACTTATGAGTAATGCTACTCTAAACATCCACTTGCATGTCTTTGTGTGAATGCATGTTTCATTTCTTTTGAGTAAATCCCTAAGTGTGGCATTACCGAATCATATGGTAAATTTAATTTCAGGTTCTAAGAAACTGCCAAAGTATTTTACGTGTGGCTGCGCCATTTTATACTACTTCAAGGAATGAGGGTTATAGGTTCTCTGAATTCTTGACATCCCTTCTTATTGTCTCTTTTTTGTTAGAGCCATTCTAGTGGGTGTGACATGGTGTTTCATGTTGTTTGTGTTTCCTGAATAGCTAATGATGCTGAGCATCTTTTCAAGTGCTGATTAACCATGTACATGGTTATTTGATGAAATATCCATTAAAATATTTTGCCTAGCTTTTTATTGTTTTTTAAAAAATTATTGTAGAATTATAAGAGTTCTTCACTGTTTTGGGTAAAGTCCTTTATTTTAAACATGATTTGCAAAAATTTTTCTTAGTCTGTGGGTTATGTTTTCATTTTTATAGTTAAAAAGTTGGCAAAAGTTGTTATTTTTAGTGAAATAAAATTTGTCAATGTTTTCTTCAATGGATTCTGCTTTTGATAATGTATCTAAGAATTGTAACTAAGATCCTCACAAAGATTTTCTCCTGTAGTTTCTTCTAAAAATTCAATAGTTTTAGCCCTTACATTTAGGTCTGTGATACACTTTGAGTTAACGTTTACGAGTGATGTGTGGTGAGGATCTAAATTTATCTTTTGTGAGGATGTTCAGTTGTTCCAGCATCGTTTGTGAAAAGGACTGTTCTTTCCTGTTGAATTGCCTTGGTGTCTTTACCTAAAACCAGTGCACCATGAATGTAGTTATTTCTGGGCTCCCTTCCATTCTATTGATCCATATGTCTATTCTTATGTCAGCACCACTCTCTCTCGAGTACTGTCGCTCTTAGTAAACTTTGAAATTAAGAAATATAAAGCCTCTAATTTTTTTAATTTTCAAGGTGGTTTTGGCTATTCTGGCTCTCTTGCATTTCCATATGCATTTTAAGATCAATTTGTTAATTTCTGCAAAATCAGCATGTCAGGATTTTGACAGGCATAACATTGAATCTGTAATTTAGGGACAATTGCCATCATGAGAATATTGAATCTTTCAACTTGTGAACATGGTATGTCTTCCCATCTAGATCTTTAGCTCTGTGAGAAATGTTTTGTTTTTAGTATACTGGTCGGCACTCCTTTTACTAAATTTATTTCTTAAGTATTTTATTCTCTTCTATGTTATTACAAGAAGGATTTTTAAAATGCTGTTTTGGGGATTGGCCATTGCTGTTATGCAGATGTAAAATTGATTTTTGCATATGGATTATGTATGCATGTGACCTTGATAAACCCACTTATTAGTTCTAGTATTTGTGTGTTTGTGTGTGTGTGTGTGCATAGGATGTTTCTATACAGAGGATTCTTCTACATAGAGGATGTTTACCAATATTCTAACTCCTTCTCTCTACTCATTTAGTTGTAATTACCCTTAAAACCCTCAGTCATCATTCCTGCGCACAGGTTGCTAAACACCAGGCCCTCAATTCCTCCAGTACTATTCTAAATCCTCCTATTCTGTTTAGACTTCCCTGAGCTACTGGTCTCTCAACAGCTGTGTGTCTTGCCTCACATTCACAGAGAGAGTTAAGGATGTAAACACGGGCAGAGTTACTGTCAATTAAATAATGTTTAAGTTTCAGAAGCCCTCACTCAGGACACCTTTCTAAGGTTCTTGGAGGGCCCCTGGCAAAAGTAAGATAGTTTAATAGTAATTCGTTAAAAATTCTGTCTTTTTCTACTCTGATTTCTTCTCACACTTCTGATGTCAGAATGCCATTGGAGCAGTACAAGCATTGGGTGGGGGGTCTGAGTAAGGGGAAGATGAATCAGGAATACACCATTGTTACTGCCATTTAGAGAGACATTTTAGAAGGCTTCAATAACACAGTTAAGGAATTCGAGACTAATGATTTGGATCTGTATGAATTTTTAAAAATTAATAGAATAAAAGCAAGAAAGATGAGCATTTTAAACAATAGAAGTTATTCTGGCATAAACAAATTTTAATGATGTTTCATATTACATCAAGTAAATTAAGAGAGACATATTTTTGATAAGAGCTTCTAGATTATTTCATAAGCCATTCACTGAAGAGGAATTAATTATTTGAATACACTGGAGAAATATTTGAGTTTCTTACAAATTTGACAAAAATTACCAACATCACTGAATTTAACATAAAATTCATAATATACCACTTCAAGGACATTGAAGATAAACTAGTTCATGAGATTCATTATTTCAAAGATAATTTAAGACTAGTCATTTTCCAAAGAACCTTGAAAGGCCAAAAAAACTTATAATCATATATGAAAAACATTCGATAAGGATTTTTCTAAATTCGACACTGCTTAGTATTTACATGACATTATGAATAAATAGTGAGCTATGACACTGAAAGAATTTTTCTAAACTATGAATAATAAAAAATCAATGGCCATCTAGATGAAAAGCTATATGAATTTTTATATTTTCTTCATATAAAACTTTTATAAAATGGTTCTCATAGGAAGAGGTGAAGGTAGAGCATGTAGCCAAAAATTGTAGGCAAAAGTGTTGTATAGCTGTTACTTATTAAAAAGTCACAGTGTATTCCTTATTTTGTGATATTTATGGAATTTATCAACTTAAAATTTTAAATTTAAAACATTTTCTCATTCTATAAATAATTGCACACTCTTTAACAAAGATTTTATTTGTATTTATTTTTAGAGAGGGGGAAGGGAGGAAGAAAAAGAGGGAGAGAAGCACTGATGTGGGAGAGAAATCAATCTGTTCTCTCTCCCACGCCCCCAACTGGGGACCTGGCCTGCAACCCAGGCAAGTGCCCTGACCTGGAATTGAACCAGTGACCTTTCAGTTTGCAGGCTGGCACTCAGTCCATTGAGCCACACCATCCAGGGCAAATAATTGTGCACTTTTAAACATAATTTTTAAGTTATCATTTTTGTATTCTTTTTTCAAGAAAGCTTTTCTCCCACCCACTACTAATCATGTAAGATACAGGCCTTACAAAAATGGTTCTGCTCTTAGCTAACAAGCTTGTATTTTCTGTTTCCTGCCTTTCTCCCTACAGAGGCACTGCATCCTCATCCAGTCTGTGTTGTTGAATATCACTGTAGCCCTTGGCTTGCTTCCAGCAGCTGCCTAACAACTGGCCCATTAGCCCCTTAACCTTGACCTGGCTCATAGCTCTTGTCTCTCTGTATTGTCAGTTTCTGGCTCCACATTCAGACTTTCCATCCTCACCTTTGGCCTTCTTCAGATAGTGATCTCTTTGGATTCTTTCTCTGCTTTTTGAGATCAACATCTCTCCTAGCTAGCTCCCTAGGAGACTGACTCAGGCATTCCCTGTGGCTTCTGATCACTCAGGTGGGCCTTAATTACCACCCAGAATGACACCACACTTCTTTTTGGCAAAGGCTAATCTTTTAGCCTACATCCATTCTTTCTAGGACTTTGCACAAGAAATGAGCACATCTCTTGTCTGTGCTTTTAGCCTCTGTGACTGCATTCATACTGCGTCCAGCTGTGCACACATTTGGGTGTCTCCCATCCTTAAAAACTATTCTACTCTGTATCTTCCTCTCTCTCTTCTTGCCACCTCAGTCAGTGTTCTTGAATGTTGGTACTGCACAGCCCCTGTTTACTCACTTCTGCTTTGCTGTTCAGTCTTTCCTACCTAATGCCTCTCTCTGAGATCACCAAATGCTTCCTTAATAGCAGATACAGTGCACTCTGTTCAGCTTTTATCTGGGGCCTTAAACAATGACTTTAAATACTTCTTTAAATTCTCTAATCCTTTGGCTTTTCACATAGTATTATTGTATTTTGGTTTTTCTTCTAACTCACTGGATGTGGCTCTCTAGTCTCCTTTGAGGGATTCTTTTCTGTTTTAGTCTCATAAATGTTAGTGTTGTCCAGTGTTTTATCCTTAGCATTTGTCACTATTGAACACATACTGTCGAGGGTGTCCAAACTTTTGGTGTCTCTGGGCAACACTGGAAGAAGAGTTGTCTTGGGCCACTCATTAAATATGCAAACACTAATGAAAGCTGATGAGCAAAAAATAGATTTTAAGTAAATTTACGATTTTGTGTTGGGCTGAATTCATAGCCATCCTGGGCCACAGGCAGCCCACAGGCTGCGGGTCGAACACCCCTGTGTGATAGGTGCTGCGCCAGGTGCCAGGGAAATTGTGATGAACAAGATATGTAGTGTCTGCATCGTAGATCTTAGTCCATTCGGGGAGATAAATATTAACCAAATAATTATAGTTCCAGGGCTTCATTCATCATCTTTTTGGTGATAACTCACAGGTTTATGTCTGTGTCTTGCTTGATTACTAGGTAAATTATAGCCAGAACATCTACCTGAAAGTAAAAAAAAATCACTGCAATCACTTTGAGCTGTGGCATTTCATGAACCAAGAGCACTGGATCAGTAACTTTTAAAGGTTTTGTTTATTATTACCCCAAGTTTTAACCTGCCTATGGAATTACAGTATACAGGAAGAATGCAGTCTAAAAGTCTGAGATTCTCATTTAGGCTCTGTGACTAAGCCACTTTTGACCTAATTTTCCTCACTAAATCTTTGCTGTTAAATTATTAAAAATTAATAGCAAAATATTTATAAAATAGCTATATTTCTTTATAGTTAAAATGATAAAAGAATGGAAATTAATTAGGGTAACATATACCTTAGTCTTTGTACAGTAATTCCAGTTTACATCTGTCGTCTCAACAAAGAAATAGCACCTCCACACTTTCCAAATTGTCTTCATTTAGATGATAAATTACATGGTCACTCTAAAACCATTTTTCAAAGAAAGCCTTTTTTCTCAAAGAAATATTTGTTATGATGCTTGCTACTTTTTAAAAATCCTATTTTTTTTTTTACTACCTTACAGTCAAAGATTGATGGAGTACAAATATTTCTGGAATAAGACTCTTTCATTACTTAATTTTACTAAAAGGGAGATAACCAGTATCAAAAATGAAGTTTATGATCATTTGCAAAGCTGGACTTCACTGAAAGAAGAAGTTTGTCTTCAAATTAAATCCATAAGTGAAACAGCCTTGACAGGTTTGTTACACGCACATAGAACACAATCATCTTTTTTTCTTTGTAAATAGTACATCATAAGTAACAAAATAATGACATTTCATTTTATGTGGTGGGACTTATGATTAACTGAAGAGATATACAGATGGCAGATAAGCACACAAAAGTGTTTAACATAATTAGCTAGTTAGGGAAATGCAAATTATGACCATAATGGAATACTACTACATATTTATTAGAATGTCTAAAATTTTGATTGACCATAACCAGTATTAGCAAGGATTGGAGAAACTGGACCACTTAACATTGCTAGTAAGAATGTAAAATAGTGTAGCCATTCTAGAAAATGATTTTTTAGTTTCTGTTAACACTGATTATGCACTTAGCACATGACCCATTAATTGTATTTTGGGCATTTATCCCAGAAATATGAAAACCTGTGTTCATGCAAAAACTTGCACATAAATGTTCATGGCAGCTTTATTCAAAATGGCCCAAAGTGGAAACAACCCAAATTTCCTTCAATGGATGAAATAGGTATTGTGCTGTATCTATACCATGGAATACTATTTAACAATAAAAAGAGAAAAATATTAATACATGTTCAAGGGAATTATGCTCCGTGAAAAAAAGCCAGTCTCAGGAAAATTATGTACTGTACAAGTCTATTTACATAGCATTCTTGAAATAACATTATAGAGATGGAGAACAGATCAGTGGTTGCCAAGGACTCGGGATGGTATGGACAGGAGGAGCGTGGCTCTGAAAGGGTAGCAGGCGGCAGCTTCGTGGTGGTGGGGAAACCCTGTATTTTGATTGTGATAAAATCACAAAGGCACACACACATGAGGGTGTGTGTAACTGGTGGGGCGTGGATCAGCTCTGTGAATCGTGCCAGCGTCGGCTCCCTGGCTTCGAGGGTGTACCATAGTCACACGAAATGTCAGCACAGCGATGGGTGGGGTGAGAGTGTCACAGGACTGCCCCACACATAGCTTTGCAACTTCTTATAAATCTGTGTTTCAGAATACAAACATTAAAAAAATCTACATATACACAGTGTTTTATGATCCCTTTTTATTAATTAAATTTAGTCTCTGAGGCTTTTTTAATATTAGTGTAATAAAACTCTATAAGGTCATGTGAATTTACAGTCACTCACTCTTCATAACATCAGTGTGCCTTGGCAATAAGGCTACAGAGGTTTCCTAAAAACATCATCACCTAAAGTAACTTTAAGTTCATTTGAGTAAGCTAATAGGACTAACAACAACAGAAAATATCTTATCTAGGCAAGGAAATTGATTATTTGAGGTTAATATTAAGAATTGTACTTGCATTGGCTAGCAAATTATATAAAACATTAAAAAAACTAAAAACACCACTAGCCTGGCAATAAATTTTGCCAATATTACAAAAATTTTAAATAACAAATACTTCCTTTAAAAATACCAGCTTTTGTTTTGATCTGTGTGGATTATGTCCTTATGTTGTGAGTTGACACTGTGTGGCTTTGGTCGAAAAGTTGATGTAAAACAAAACTTGAAACATTTTTATAAGAAGTAAAATAAACTACGAATTCCTCTACCTCACACAATTGTTTTTATGCTTCCATTTGATCTTCTAGTCCTCTCTACATGTTCATCTATTTTTATGTATTTTAATTACAATGTAAATTTCAATGCCTATTCTGAAATATATTGTTATGGGCTGAATTGTGTCCCTCAAATTCTTAAGCTGAAGTCCTAACTTCTGGTCCCTCACAATACAACTTTACTGGAGTTAGGGTCCTTAAAGTAGTTATTAAATTTAAATGAGTGGGCTTTAATCTAGTATAACTAGTGTCCTTGTAAGAAGAGGAAATTTGGAAACAGTCACATACAGAGGGAAGATGATGAAGAGAGGGAGAAAATGACTATCTATAAGCCATGTAAAGAGGCTGGGAACAGATCCGTCCCTATGGCCCTTAGAAGAAACCAACCCAGCCAACACCATGATCTTAGACTTCTAGCCTTCAGAACGGTGAGAAAATAAATTTCTGTTGGTTAAGCCACCAGAGTTCTTAAAAAATAAATAAGATAGTCTCTGACTTAAAATAACAGTCCAATAGGAGAGCACATGTTTGCATATGATAGAAACGGTGTAAATTGGTGTGAGTTCCAGGAAGATCAAGGCCACTTCCAAATCCATTAGAAAAGATTTCCAGGCAGGTAGTATGTAAGCTGTGGTCATCCTAGTGTTTGTGGTTAGGAGACCTTTCTTCTGAAACAAAGGGTCATGCTGAAACAGAGAAAATACAAGGTGGGATCAGTGACTGGAATAGGTTGGTCTCATGGAGATCATACCTTCTGAACCCTAAATTGGGCCACATGACCAACAAGCCGGAAAGTGTGTTAATGGTGAAGATAGGACTGAGTATTTGACACCCGGACTGCCATAGGCCTATGTAGTTTGCCATGGGTGAGTTAATTTACCTCCCTTGAGTAAACTCTCTTAATGTCACGTTAGGAACATTGAAGCTCCTGTTACTTTTGAAATCTTGCTGTACTTTTCCCTGTGTTTGAATATATTTGACAAATGAGTCTGTACTGCAGATTCTTATTCTTTTAATGTCAGATGGAAAGTCATGTTGACACGAACAGTTATTTTAGAGACAGTCAGCAGTGCACACTAGCAGAGTCAGCCTGCTAACTGAAGCAGTGTCATTCTGGCAAACGGGAAACAGGTGACGGCATGCGTGCGTCTGCCGTGTCATTCTGACTTAGATGTGCACAGGTACGGTGAGAGTGCAGCACATCTTGTCCGGTCACAGGATGCCACCTTTATGGTACAAAAATACCCAGGAAGACTTGTTAGGTCTGAAGAGAAACTATACTGTTTTTCTTTAAAGCTTTTTGTACTAGTGTGTTAGTTTTCCTCACACAAAGGAGTGTGTATCCATAAGTCTGTAGAAGCATATTGCTATTCTTAGGAAAAATTTTTGTGTAAGTGTTGGAATACGGTAGACACGAATTCATTTGGTATCGATTTATTTCATCAGATTTTCTAATTTGGGCAGGAATTAAAAGTGAAGAAGGTGCTGGATCCTTTGTGCTCATGACCTAGGTCTGTCTTACATGCCACTTTTTCTTCCAGACGAACATTTTTCCCCAAAGAAAGACATTTTGCTTTTCTCTCCTTGGACCATGATCTTGATGCTACTCAAACCCGGCCTCTTAAGACATGCCCTGGTCCCTGTGCCCTGTTCCAGCATACTGCTCTGCTTCTCCTTCATTTACTGGCCATATTTCCTGCCATGTCTGTCCTCCTCATCTCTATTTCTGGTCTTCACTGGCCCATGTGGCTGCTATTTTTGCTGTAGTGGCTCTAAGGCCAAGCCAACCTCCTTTCACATCTAATCACATGCTGCGCCCTTCACGTGGCCCAGAGTGACCTGGGCCAGGCAAGGAATGCAGAGTGAACTCTGGACAAGCAGACTGTCCAGATTTTCACATACTCATCATTTCAATTAATTGTGGTTGTACAAATTTTGTAGTATTTTACTATTATTGTGTGCAATGGTATATTTTAATACTACGGTTTAAGGCAGCAGTGCTCAAAAGGCTGAGGAAGGCAGAGCTTGATAATTATCATTCTGAAGGATAACATGCTCCATGCATTTTTCATTGAAATTATATAAAATTAATACACGTAAACCTACATAATGCTGTGAAGGCATTTTTTAAAATTAAACTTAATCTAAGTAGATAGAATAATGACTAATGATCGCTATGATGAAATTCTGGTCTCATTTTGAGGGGACAGAATATTGTTAAAAACATTAAGATATATTAACTAATAAATTTACTTCTATAAATTCATTAGTTTTTGTCACTGCCTCCTTTTATTTCTCTCTACCCCATACTATGTTTTTTCATAACTTATGTATGAATTTATAAATTCATATATTTATGTTTATATTTACTTTTTCTGAATTATGTTACCAAGAAAACAATTTAATTTTAGTACAACCCAGAACATTATAAAGATATGTTACTCATTTATGTGAGTATTTAAAAAACAGGCCTGATTGTCATTTAATATAATTTAAAGGCAAAAATGAAAACAAAATGCCTTTTAGAGGCAAAACCTCTAAAAGGTATCATGCACAGTTTAGCAATACAATTCTTTTTCTCATTTCTTTCGCAGAATAACCACTAAATTTAAATTTAACCTTTTGCTTTGGTGTCACCACACTCTCAGAAAATTCATCTTGGAAGTTTTTGAAAATTGTTTTATTGTTAGATGTCATCTATTTGTAAACTTTGAATTTTCTTTACAGAAATAGAGATACTAAATAAAAGTTTGGCAGTGTCCCAGAGAAATAAGGTATGCCTTGAAGAGGAAATGAAAAATCTGAAGTTGTTGTCAGACGCAGCTATACTGAGGTCTCAGCAGATTCAGACATCTAAACAACAGGAAGAAAACTTGCAAACCAGATGCCATGACTTGCAAAAAGAAGTACTAGGTAAAAGATTTTTTTTCTTTTGTGATTGTTAGCAACTACCATAATAAGTGTATAAATTTTTATTTCTTTTAAAATCACAACAATCTTTTGGTTATCTTGTGTTGCAAATATGCCTAATTGTTAGTAACTGTCAATAACTGTGATCAATTCACTGTTATCCCTTCTTATTCTGCCATTTAGAGTAGTAAGACTCGTGGAGATATTAAAGACATTTTAAGATAAAATAAGATTTCAGGAGAACAAACTGAAATTTGCTTTAGTATATCATTATCCCAGTGGATTGGTGGTTTAGTGTACTGAAGGAAAATACAGCATATGCTGTTAATAAAGTAAATCCAAATGTTTATGCACTCTTTCATTTTCCCAAATGAAAAGATTAAAACTGTGTTTTAGGTACCTTGTTTCTCTCTACCTCAGAGAATAAAATACCTTGTCAGTAAGGCTATGGAGTATGCATGTGTTCCTGAGGGCAGTATAGAATCACTGAAAATTGATAATCATGAAAATGATATCAATAAAAACAGTGTTTTAGCAAAATTAAGTTGTTAGCAATGAATGGAGGTGCTCCAAACACCAGTGTCTGGAGCCAGATACTATGAAAATATCTTTACTGGTAACCCAGCCCCTAGACTAACCATAAGATACCAAAGTAGGGAGGGCCTAATGTATATTGGACATCATGCTAGAAATGTATATAAGTTATTTCGGTCAGCTCTCACTGTGATCATGGGAAGCAAGCGTACGTATCCCATCTTACAGAAGAGAGAATCAAGGCCCAGAGAGGTAACATGCCTGTTCCCACACAGCTGGTAAATGGCAGGGAGTGAATGCAAATCAAGGATCGTGCTCATCTCCTTGACCCTTTCCAGCCACAGTGGAATGGTTAAGATAGAATCAGGGTTGAGAGGAGTACCCAGGACTGGGGAGGAGAACACCTTGCTGAGTGGAAGGGAGAGAAGGAAGTCACAGGGGGCTGCGACCCTCTTTGCTTGGGAGTCTTTAATGATAAGACCATAGCACAGACTAGGGAAATCTAGAGGGAAACTAGTATTAGAAGAGAAGGTAAGGAGTCATCACATGAGCCTGGAAGCAGTATATATTTTAAAATCACATATTTACAATTTTTCTCTTCTTTCAATTAGCTTTTCATATTTTGCCAATTTTCAATTGCATTATTGGAATTTTCCTTGATAATTTTTAGAGCAATTTGTATAGTAGAGTATTTCTCATCTATATTAACTTTTTCCTAATGTGATTTTTATGGTAAATTTCACCATATCAAAGATTTTAATTTTGGTATGATCAAAATACTACCTTATATTGTTTCTGGTTTGTTTTAGTTAAAACAGTCCCTCTCATCCCTAGATTATAGTCTTCTGGATTTTCTTTCCTTTGATTCATTAACACATATGGAATTTATTTTTTAGATGGTATAAGATATGGGGGTTCAGTTTTACTTTCTTAATATGGACAGCCAGAGTTGTATAAGTATTATGTATTAAATACTTATGCTTTTCCCACTAAATAGAACTACTACCTGTCATATGTTAAAATTTTATATATAATACTACCTATTACCATATTCTCTCTTCTTTCCACTAATTTATTTGAAGTAATAAATATCATTCATTTGAATATAATGACTTAATGGTGTATTCTCCTGGCTGATTAAATCCTTTCTCTCTCTGGTTTTCTGATTTTGAAAATATGTATTTGGAGATATCTTCTTTTTGAACTTTATGATTATTTATTTACCTCCAATCCAAAGGCTGTGATGTACACCTAGTAAAGGTTTCCTCCTCCAGTCTTTACACTGTTTTTACATATTTACAGGCAGTTATTTTTCTGCATAAACTTTAAGATAATTTTATTTATTTCCAATAGGGATTCTAATTGGACTTGCATTGTATTTATATACTAACTTTTGGAGAATTGGTATTTTTAGTGACATTAAGTCTTCTTTATATTATAAAAGCCTTTTCATTGAAGAATAATGTCTTCACTTTTTTAAAATGTTGTGCTTTATGTTCTTTAATGCATTTTACAGTTTTATTTAAATGTTTATCATTCTTGTTAAATTTATGACTATCATTTTTCAGCTACTGTGAAAGGATTATTTTCTCTTTTGATTTCTTGATATTTGTTATTAGGATAGAGAAAGGCTATTGATTTTTGTATATTTGTCTTATACACATAAACTTTACAAAATTCTCATTAATTCTAGTAGTTTTTGATTAAGTGTGTCTAGGATTTTCTAGTTATACAGTTATATCACCAGCCCCCATTCCCTCCAAAAAAGTGTTTATCCATCTTTCCCTATGTTTACATCTGTTATTTTTCTTGTCTTGTTCATATCTTAATGAAGTTTATTTGAATCTCTGAGACTGTGTTAAACAATAATTGTGTCAATGGGCCTCCATGTCTACTTCCTGATTTTAGTTAAAATAATTTGATGTTTTTCCACTTGGAATTATATCCAGTTTTGGATTTTAGTAAATAATCATTATTTTTTAATTAAATATTTTCCTTCTATCCCAATTTTACTTGGATGCTTTATTAGAAATGCCTTTGAGTTTTTTGCTAAATGCCTTTTCAGCATCTATTGATATATTAGTATGATCTTTTTTGTCTTTAACCAACTGGTAAAATGGATTAGTATTACTAAATTTCCTAATAATAAAGCACCTTTACTTTCATGGGATAAACCCTACATCATTTACTTTTTAATATGTTCTTTTCTACATGATTATGTTTTTAATTTAGTGCATATATTCATAAGTGTGGTTGGTCTAAAGATTTTTCTTTATCACAGGCACTAATTTTATTCGAGTTTTATGTTAAAACTAAGTGAACTTCATTAATAAATAAGTTTCATGACATTGGATTATCTGTTTTTAAAAGTTAGAAAATGTGACTGAACCCAATTTCATTAGGTAAAATTCAGTTATGAACTCATCTGATTCTAGTACCTCTTTTAATGAGGTTATTTAATATTTTTGAATTTTCTGTGGAAATTTGACTACTTAAAATTTTAATTCTTCTTGGATCATGTTAAATTATTTATATTTTGACAAAAATCATTTATTTTTCAAAGATTTCAAATTTGTACTTATAATATATCATATAATACTCTTATTTTTAATGTGCACTTTTTGCCCAAATTTTTTAGAGAAAGAAAAGAATGTTCATTATATATGGGTAGCACTAAGAATATGCATTATATATTGGCAGCACTATAAAACGTGGGTGCACATTATACATGGGAAAATACAGTAGCTCCTCTGTGATTATACATGATTTCTGAATTTTAGTCTTGTCTAATTTGTTTTTTATCTTTTATTTTCTACCAGAATTTCAAGGCCTTTATTTCTTGGTCTTTTCAAAGAACTAGCCTTTGTATATTTTATGATTCCTGCTACTTTTATTTTCCATAACATTACTTTTCACTTCTATATTTATTAATTTCCTCTTTCTGGATATTTTTGGCACTTGTATTTTTTAGATTTATGAAAGGAATAATTAGTTCTTTTATTTCTCATCTTTTAAAATTTAATTATAGAGGCATTTAAGGGTATACATTCTCCTATGAGTACAAGTTTCTCTATATCATATCTTTTGATAAAGTATTATCTTTTTCAATGTTGTCTAAATACTCTATAATTTATTTAAAAAATTTTTCTTTCATTGAAGGATTATCTAGAGGTATATGTCTTATTTTCAAGATAGTTCATTGCTTTGGCAGGGAGTTATTTTTATTATTTATTTAACTTTGGGTTATTTTTTTAAATTTTATTTATTTTTAGACAGAGGGGAAGCAAGGGAAGAAGGGAGGAAGAGAAAGATCAATGTGGGGTTGCCTCTCATGTGGCCCCTACTGGGGACCTGGCCCACAATGTAGGCATGTGCCCTGACTGGGAATTGAGCCAGCAACCCTTTGGTTCACAGGCTGGCATTCAATCCACTGAGTCACACCAGCCAGGGCTAACTTTGGGTTACTCTGATTAAATAATGTGACATAATATTCCTTTGAATCTGTAAACTTTTTTATTTTGAATACATAACAAGTTTTGTAAGTATTTCTTAGAAATATAAAAAAGATATAATTCTCAACTTGATGGATGTAATAGTATTTTAGCTGGGAGTAGGATTCTTGGGGTTGTTTTTCCTCTCAGTGGACTGTAGATGCTGATGCTTTGATTTCTAGCTTTTAGTGTTGTGAATAAGAAGTCTACTGTAGATCTGATTTCTTTTTCTTTTAAAGGTAACTTTTTCTTTTACCTGGAAGCTTGATAGACTTGTTTATTTCTTGTTTTGCTATATTTTGTCTATTTTTATTGGACCTCAAGAACATTCAATTGGATCACTCATAGTGCTTGGTTTATGGCATGTATGTGTGGACTATGACTTTATGCCTGTATACAATGTTTAGTAGAATTGTGATAGTTTCATCCTTGTAAAATTTACAGTTTTACAAAAGCACACTTTAACTTAACACTTTAAGCAGAAATTATAATGAATGTAAAATATCTAGAATTGAATGATACTAAAAATGGCAGATAACAAAATTTGTTGGATGCAGCCAAAGTGATTCTTTGAGGGATATATATAGCCTTACATAATTTTGAGAAGGAAAGAATAAACTCAAAGAACATAGAAAAATACATAATAAAAATAAGAGCCTTAGTCAGTGACATAGAAAACAAAGATACAATAAATAGCAACAAAAAATTTGATGTTTTTAAACCAACAAAATAGATAAACCTCTGGCAAGTTTGATCAAGAAAAAAGACACAAATGAAAATATATGAAAAAATAGTAGTGACAACAAATAAAGAGTAAAAAAAAGTGGGTCTTGTTAACAACCTTATGCCAACAAATTTGAAGTGGGCATATTATTAGGAAAACATATCTATCAAGACTTACTCAAGAAAATTAAATGGCCTTATAACTATAAAGAAATTGAAGCAATGCCTACTTACAAAGAAAAGGCCAGATTGTTT